CTCAGCTACTAAAAAAAGCCCAGAAAACTCTGAGTGAAAAGAAATTTTAGGGTGCCTTAAGCCTTATGGTTTTGGAGCATATTTTTGTGCTTGAATGCTGTAACGCAAGCAGATTCAGCAGGTCAGCTTGTTACTTGCTCTATCTTCTGTGCATATCAGATTAAAATATGATTTGTTAGAATGAGACTTAAAATCGCCTTAATTTTAGAGGAAAGACCAGAGTATATTTGCGTGCTTTATGTACGACGTGAGTTGGAGTTCATCGGAATGCATCGGGAGTTCACCGTAAGCGGCAGGTGTTGCGCCTTCTGCGTCTGCTGAAGACACTAAACTATGAAATATTTCTGCTCGTGGTACTCTGAAGGCTCAGAATCTAGTTATGCTCAAAGTTAGTTACTTGAGGCATCTATACCTGTTCTAAATACTGTTTACTTCAGAGAGTCAGAATCATGTTAGCGTTTGGCATTTAACTTTTTAATCCTCACTTAAAAGGTAAAATGACTTCCTTTAAAGTGACTGTTGAACTTCATTACTTTACTTCTATGCACCAAAATCCAAAATAATCTTTGGGATATGCCTTTCATAGATAATATCTAGCGGAAGTTAACTTCAAAATGAACTTTATTGAATATATGCAGAACCTAAAAGACTGCTAGGAACATTTCACGTGTTTTACACGACCTAAAGTTAAATTAAGCTTCAAGTAAATACAGTAATTCTGGTACTAGTAAATGGTATATACATGCTACAGATCTTTGCGCCTCGTGGTCAGTTACAATTTTGGTGCATTTGCATTGTGGATTCTGTTTCAGTATCTTCGTGAGTCATTTGTATGTCATGGTTAAAAACTGCACCAGTCCACTGGTACAGCAGCACTTCATATGCGGGCCTGGAACTAGAGGGGAAGGTTTACCTGCAGGCTTGTTGGTTTAAGGTTTCCGTATTCGCAACAAACTTTATGCTAAGTCATTAGTGACCAACTTATTTACAACTGATAAAACTGGAGAAGAAAACCCGCTCCAATAAACTAAAAGCAACCTGACAGGAATGAGCTGGCTGCACGTTTAGCTCTTGCAGTGACTGTATGTGTAAACTTATGCGGCTTCAGTCATAATGCAGTTTGTTCTTTAACTTGAGTAACTTTCAGACCATACTCTCACTCCTCCCCCCCCCCCCCCCCCCCCATACTGTGGCATTATTAACAACACAGAAAGAAGGTATTTTTTTCATCTGATGTGACATGAGGTTATCTTTCTTCTAGGTGGCTCTCCGTATGTAGCAGCCAAAATCAACGAAGCTAAAGATTTGCTGGAAGACCAAGCTAAAAAATGAATGAGAGAGAAAAACACGAGGGTTTGTCCCTGCAAATGATTATTTTTGATAAATGGCGTAAGAAAAGTTCTAATGTCAGTCTTTGACTTAATATAAATGAAGCTGGAAATATGAATCCAGGGAAGTCACTCCCTCCCCACTCATTTCTTAGTCACTTTTTGGGGAAACGTGTGAGGGAGAGAGGCTTAAAGTTTTTTTCATAGCTGTGCTTTAATAAGCAGCAAAATCTGCCACTCAGAAATATTTTCAGAGTAAGAGAGTATTAACTTGGGTTGGCCAATGCATGTTACCAGATACAGGTAGACCTGCATGCTGTTACCTAATTTTTGTTAAACTAGCTATGTTTAAAGTTCACATGCCAAAGTTAGGATGATAAACCAGTTTGGGGAACGGCGGGAAAAAATCAAGAGGATTTATTTGACGGGAAGAGTTGGGACAGCTGTGTGGTTGTCTGACTGAAGAAATAAAGTATAGGAAACATCCTTGGTTGTCTTTGCCTTGTGCAAAACAAGGTTGGTTGAGCTTCTTAAGTGTTACTGATGGGTCTGGAACATCCCAGATTTTTTTAGTAACTTTCAGTTTTTAATGGATTTTATAGCCTTTAATAAATTTGAAATTTGTAATGTAAGTACTGTAGCTTCATACATTATCTTACACTACAAAGTTAGAGGTTTGCATCAATAGTGATTAGGAAACAGGAACTCTTTACATAAGCCATCGAAGATACCCGAGCTGGATTCATCGTGCTGCAGGAAGCCCGGCATGCCCCAGCAGATGTCTCTGTGTAAGTATCCAAATTAGGGCCAGAGAGTTGTGTCATACTCCAAGAATCTTGCCAGTCTTTCTGCAACTATGGTAAAACCGCTGCACAGCACGTGTAATAGTTAACACTCATCTGTTCATAACTACAACAGATATCGGAGCTTTCATTTTTCCAGAAGTAACACACCTCTACTTCAGAGTAGTGCAAGTAGTCTTACACCCTCGGCGCAAACGCTGGCTGCTACGTAGCTGCATTTCTGTGGATGAGTTACAGGCCACATAGTATTACCAGAGCAACAGTAAGGAGGAGTTCCACGCCTTCAGAAGAGAGGATCAAATCAGTAACACGAGTAGGAAATAGAAAACGTTTAGAACCTATACAGAGGGAGGGATAACTCTGCTTTACTACCGATTTTAAAGTGGGGTGAAAAAACCAGCTGGAACATTGCCATGCAGCAGTTCCAGAGTATGTGTAGTTCAAGCTGTACTTACGTTTTTCTCTGCCAAATAATACCGAGGTTTTAAACACAGCTTTTTTGTTTTTTCTTCCGTTTTTTTTCTCCACTCTTGTGGCTGCCTTATCAGTTGAGATGCTTGTGCACACTTCAGAGTTACAACAATTTAACTGTTTGGTCTCCAGGAGGGAACATTGTCGATGGGTGTCAACACTTAAACCGTATTAAAAACTGCACATCATCTTAAATGAAATACATACCCAAACCTGGTTGGTACAACTCTCCTGTAGCTGTATCGGGTATAGCAGCTGGAGTCACGGGTGGTTCAGAGTACTTGGTTTTGTCCTTACTCACTTCTGACGAAATCAGGTAAGACAGAATTTTTTTCTTCCAAGTCAGCACAACTTCAGCCCTACCCCTTTGCTCCGACATCTTACAACATCTCCTTGCTACCCAGATGATGTTCCACACCCGTGTTTTCTGCTTCATTGCTCTTGCTCGTGTGCCTGAAAAGGTGGGTTAGTGTGTCATGCTTCCTACTTCTCAATTAACAACTACATCTGCATTGATTCCTATATATGTTAGTCAGGTTAGGTGATTCTCCAAGATAAGAAGTCTGTTTTTAGACTTGTTAACTGATGTTTTACATCATCGCCTTAAAGAATGGAAGATTGGCATGTTAGAAAACTCTTAGGAAAGAGTTAAAGGTTCAAGCTGCCTTGCAAGTAAGTTTCAATTGTTAGCGTTAACAGCTTGAAAAGCTTAAAGTCAATAGTAATTTAAATTCCTGATAGAAACAGTCAACAGATGGAAGATCAAAGTTTATTTTCTTTTACTACCAGCATACAAAAAAAACATATTGCACATCAAACAACCAAAACAAAAATAAAAATACTCTACTAAGGACTAACATATGTAGTTTATACAGAATAAACTTTCTGGAAATTGATCTTTTCAGTAGTTCAGGTTATGTCTTAATGGACATGACTAATTCAGCTTAGTGTTAACTAAAGCTATGTTTGATTTTTAAATACTGTACAGTTTAATAAATAAACCAAACAAAGCCTCAATGTAGAACAGTCACTGCCAATGTCACCCAGTATCCCTGCAGATTATGAGAATTTAACAAATGTATTCCAGTGGTCTGCAGATTTTTCCTCTACATACAGCATTTAAAAAACATGTATTAAAACAGACCAGTTTCCAGACTAAACTAATGGAGAAATTACATTTCAGTGCAAAATATTTTAGACTGCATTTCTTTCTAGTATTCCTCAGGTGAAGAAGTGGTTGCATATTATTAAAAATGTAACAAAAGCAGCTAATGCTTTCATAAAGAGTATTATGTTAGGGATCCCCCTCACATCTTTGCCATATTTTGAAAACAAAATAACATTTCCTATAGCCAGCAATTTTGTTTATTTAAATGTTACATATACTATCTCAAGGCACATCTGATGATATATTTATAACACAGTAGGTGTCAAAGTATGTTTAACATATGATTTCTTCAGGATCCCTCCCCTTTCCGTATTCCAAAATGGAGGAACTGAAAGTGCGGTGTCAAGACTGGCGATCCATATTCTATCTTTGGCAAGCTTATACAAGCACTATTTTAAATGTAATGTAAAAGAACTGTAAACTAGGAACTTCAGTTTATGAAACACCATTCAGCACTGCTTCTTCCTGATTATTTCCATCCTCCTGAACAGTAACTTTCTTTTCATCAGGACTGTGCTGTAGTTTAGAAGGCTCATCCCCAGAAGCTGTAGCAGGACCATTCACTGCCTTTTCGGAAGGGCTGTTCTCATCAATCGCATCTTTTGCCTTGCAAAAACAAACACAGGGCAATGTTACAAATTCCGTAAAAACACACCGAGCGTAATCTACATTTCCCTCCGGCTCACACAGCAGCTTTGCAATAGGAAACACCTCTTGTCTGTCTGTGCCAGTATCCTGTCGCTTACGGCATCCTACTGCTTGCCTTGGCACTTACAGGACACTTCCGAGGAAGTCGTGCCACGGTAACCCTGAGACAGCATACCCACCATGGTTTATTTCGCAGTTTCAATTCTTCTAAGCCAAGGAAGAAGTTAACTGAAAAGCTGAGTTTTACACCCCTTTCAAAGTCTATAGTAAGATTAGGTTTTGCTCATCGGATAGCAACGGATTGTTCTTATTTTGCTAAACTCAGACCTAACTTGTGGCAATAAGTTCAATGTTACTTTAGAAGTAAAGGAATTCTGCTTTATTCAGTTCTGAACATTATTTTTCACAATATGTAATGCCACTCACTCTGATCCTTTAAGGAGAGCAGATCTCAAATCTACAGTCTTTGTAACATTAATTCTTTCTAAAATAGTTTGTACAAGTCACTAACCATGCTATCTAGCATCCTCTATTTATAAAGTGTTTTAAGGATTAGTTCTCAAGACTCACCCATGGATAATTTTCACATTTTATTATGTAAGGCTACATTACTAAGTGTAGTATTTTAAAATGCGTAAAGACTTCATTTGAGCATTACACGTGGCCACTGAAGTCTGCAATGATAGTCTGCGAATCAGTGTTGGTTCCGTTTACTCTGGGCCATTTTTGCTTTTAATGATTTATTCTTAAAGTCAAATGCATTTGCAGTCAAATGAGGGCGATCTAAATGAAGCATTCCTTTACTGTTTTGCTGCAAGGGAAGAGAAAAATAACCCCATACGTTAAAAAAAAAGTCTTCTTACCGTTTCTTTCTTGGTTTTGGCTAGTGTCTCCTTTGGAGGGTTTCTCTGTCTACTTTGAGATTCAGCTCGTGATATATAATCAGCTACTGTTACTGTTCAAGGAAAAAAATTACAGTGATGCTCACATCAGAAGTCTGATTTAGCATTATGCTTCATATGTCTTTTCTGTACAAGTTACACGATAACTGGGAGACATCTCACAAAAGGCCTTCACACTTACAGGTATCGACTACATAGCAAGGATCAATTTGTTTCTGTTGTTAAAGACAATTTTCACTAAAATCAGTGGTAACGGGATGATCTGAAGGTGGAATCGTAACGTTAATAAAATAGTAATTTTGGTCCAGTTGGAAATTTTATTGGAAAATAAGGGCTTTCTGTACTGGGTTTGAAGAGATCAGGCTGCAGCATCTTTAAACTATAGGCTGTGTTTGTCACTGGGGTTTTACTATCTTGGGTAGCGAAGAATTTCACACTAATGAAACAACGTAAGTTAAAATATGAAAAGAATTGGGGGAGGTTCAGAGTGCGGTATCACTTACGACAAAGCAGCATTCAAATCTTTGTTACTTCGTGAAGCAACTGGCTAGAGAACTCGCCCTCCTCCTGGTATTCAAAATGCAATCCACACAGTTAACTCTGGCTTGTGGGCGGGTGGATTAATTGCGGTGTGTGTACAGACACTTGAAGCGGCTCTGTATGAGCGAGCCTGTACTCAAAAGCAGGACAGCCATGTTCGCACTGTTACGGCCACACTTACTGGACGCCGGCCAGGGGTTTTCTGACCTCTTTTCTTCTTGCCACCTCAGCACATGTTCTTGTAGCCTGGTTTTGTCTTATCCCGCCCTCTTGTACCCACACCAATTGAGAGTCAATTCTATCTTTAGAATACATAGCACTACAAGTTTAAATATACACTCATATCTCTGATGAACTAAAGCACATTAGAGTTGGCAAGCATTATCTGTGGAACAGTACAGTCAATTATATTTAGTATATCATGCATTCAGGTGAACTATTTTTCTGGATTTAGGAACGATTGTGCATGAACCCTACATCAGAATAGGAAGTACAGCACATGAATTTTCTGTTACAGTAACTGGACTTCTTACAACTGGGTCCTAGCATAATTGCCAAGATCCAGTGAGCTTCTGCTCAAGGAGAATTATTTCTTTAAAATGAGGCTCTGTACCCAACTCCTCTAATGTAAAGCTGAAGCATGTTTTATGCACACAGTGTAAGACACTAATTCTTAATATTCATTTATGTAGTAGCAACCCAAAACATATAGCAACGTAAATCAAGAAATACAACTAAATGACTGAAGTACATTGTTAGCGGTGTGGGGGTTTTTCCTTCTGTCTTAATTTTACTCGCTATACACTTACTAAGTATTTATGAAAAGATTAAATTATTAGAGCATTTTTCACAAAGACAGTATAACTAACTACCAATGCTCTTACTGTTGTATTTAAAAATATTTATTATGCAAACTGAAAATGGTATCTCGAAGAAAGACATCAACAGGAAAATACTGAGAAATCTTGTTTGGGCAATTTTTGTTTTGTTCTTAGAATATTTAGAAGAAAAATATCATAGCTTTTGTAGAGATGACCAACACCTCTATGTTTTACTTACAACTAAAAGCTGAAATCCATTTTTACTTTTTCTGCCCCTTTATAAACTGGTATCACTGTTACAAAACTAGAACATTGAGAAGTAATGGGTTACTTTGGGTTTGGTTTTTTTTAGGGGGGGTGGGGTGTTTGGGGTTTTTTTCTTCCCCCGAGTTTTAGTTAGTGTAATGCAACAACTTTTTTTTCTTCTTAATGAAATGCTGTAAGAGCACCACAGATAAAAGGAAGACAAATATGGGTGAAATTTTGAACCTGTCCATCTAGAAGACCTTCTGTTACTACCTTACGCCACGTATGTACAAGCGTTTTCTAAATAGGGCATTATATTGAAAATGAGCTAGTTCACCTTTAACGTTTCAAGTGTTAGTACACACAAAAGAAATGCAACAAGCCACAACAACAAAAAATTGGAAACATGCAATTTCATTTAAATTCCTCCTCCTTCCCACCCTCAATTTGTAGATGACTTACAAATATGCACAAAAGCCGAGGACCGATAGCAGCAGTTTGATACGGGCACGGGACTGGCAGATGCCACGTGAGTTCCCTCACAGTGCTCTGCCAGGGCACCCACATCCTGCCATTCCAACTCTCGGCTTCTCAGCCGGTGCTGAAAAGGTTGTGTCACATTCAATGCGAGTGCACAGATGCAAGTGAGTGCAGGTCGTGAACCTTCACGTTTGTCGTGATCCTGGACCACTGAAGTCAACAGCAGTTTGGCTATTGACTGCAATGAGAACTGGATCAGAAGCGTACTGGTATGTCCAAGCAAAAAGTTAGACATTATAAATTAGTTTCATTAGACAGATTAAGAACTTTTGTAAGTTCTCCTAGTAGAGGAAACATCTTTCATCTTTATCTAGTAGTCTTATTAGTTATTGAGTAACCTTTTTATATTATGCAGCTATATGTAAAACAGCAGACACAACATTCTCTCATGCTTTTGACCTGAGATTACCCACAGCTCCACTCGAATTACCTGGCTGTCTATCTTCTGCCTGACCCCTGAAGCGACGCCTGCGGCTACGATTGCGTCGCTGGGGTTTTTTGTCACTATCATCTGCAATTGCAAAGTTTACCATGAACTATTTCTGACGATTAAATAAATAAATAAATAAATTCTTCAGCAGTTTCAGCATGGGGCATTTAAAATTGCTTCTGTTAAAAGAGACAGGCTAAATAAGACAGGCTGAAAGAAAACCGTAATTTTATACTGAAAGCGTACACAATGATGCAAAAGCTAGATTTTACTTTTTTGCTCTTGGCTCATTAAAACATTTAGGCATATGCTTAATGACCTCAGATTTCATTTATTAAATAAGTAACCATATGTCAAATTTTAGCCACAT